TTTCATGGAGTATCCACATTTATGCACGCAAATGTTTACAAGACAATATTTAGATGACTTTTATTTCATGTGACATACTGAAGCAATCAGCATATAGCATAAAAACTAAATTTTTCAGACTAATGGAATAAAAACTAAGATAGGATCTTGTGAGAGAATGGAGTTCTCCATACATTTGCCTATCTACTTTCAACCGCAAGTGTAGTAAATTTATTGGACACTATTACTATCGCTATCACTCTCTCGGGTCTTACATTAGTTAAAGCAGAGCTGTGTTATTTCTTTTTTCCTGCTCTATATCATTGTGATAATCAGCCTCTTTTAGGGCCCTTGAGGTCTACACCTTAGTTTTTGGCTGGGAAATTCCAAAGCCTTTCCCCTCCCTCTGCATATTTCCAGGGCCTCCCACTCATGCGGAAACTAGGAATTACTCAGGAAAAAACATGCATGACCTCTTAAAAAATATGTTTAATGATTGGATCTTTAGAACCATGGGTGACAAAGGACTGTGACAGAGAGCAATTTCCATTTTTCCTAACAGATGGGAGTTGTCTGCATTTGCCAGTCATTTCCCAGTTGCAATGATTAGTAACTTGCTAAATTCCATGCAGCAATCGCAGGCTGAGGTCATATTTCAAATGCAGAAGGTATATTTGGCAGAGGTGGGGGTGGGGGTAGATTAAAGATCCCTTTATTTTCCAAACCTTTGGCAAATTGAGTGGGATATGTGTATGTGTCTGTGTATGTATGTATGTACATAATTTTATCTTAAGGTGGAGGAAACATTTTAGAGACATTTGAGCAGATTAATAAATAGTATTTGTATACATGTAACTAAAACAGTAATTTATCAGGTAGAAGGCAGATGGGGGGAATAAAATGCCAACCTGTAATAGAGTTGGGTTGTGTTGATGATGAAGTGCTGTTTATTCAGGGCCAGCCTAGCTTGTCAGCAACATAAGAGCCATTGCAGCACATGACTCCCTGTGTAGCTGGAAGACAATAATGAATTATCTCCTATGCAAACAGAACCAGCATAAAAGCAGAACAAACAAGACTCCAGATTCCTGAAGATTCTCACTCATTCCCTTGTTTGACTCTGGCTGAAACATAAAACATTATCCTAAGGCCAGTAAAACCTAATCTGGTTTGGACACAATTTTATTAGGTTAGAAAGGGCATAGATGTTGACTATCTTTGTTTTGGGGTTACTGTAAAATTTAAGTATTTTATTTCTCTAACATGCCGAGCTGAGTCACATAAATTTTTGTTTCATCAATACTTCATTTGGTCCTATGGAATTTGGGACCACCTAGAGGAAATATAGGGCAGTGTTATCCAATGGGGCTTGATTATAAGAATCACTTGAGGTACATGATAAAAAGTTAGATTCTTGAACCCTGTCCCCAGCCTGCTCAATCAGAACCTCTAGCAAAAATCAAAACCCATTACTGTTGAGTCAATTCAGACTCATAGTGACCCTATAGGACAGAGTAGAACTGCCCCACGGGGTTTCCAAGGAGCTCCTGGTGGATTTAGCGGCCCAGAAGTGCACACCCCAGGGTGATTTTTTCTGACGAGGTTAGAGTGAGGAACAACTGATTGAGGGAAGGAGTCAGTACAAGTCAGGTAACAACGTTGAGAGAACCCAAAATATTGCTTGGTTGGAAAATATACCCATTGCCGTCAGGTCGATTCCACCTCATAGCAATACTATACGACAGAGTAGAACTGCCCCATAGGCTTTCCAAGACTGTGATCTTTACAGAAGCAGATCGCCACATCTTTCTCCTATGGAGTGGCTGGTGGCTTCAAACTGCTGACTTTTCAGTTAACAACCACGTGCTTAGTCACTACCCACCAGGGCTCCCTTTGGAAAATACATCCATTAACAAATGCCTTCCAAGAGCAGTGCGTCTTAGATTACAGTATGCATTGGAATCACCTAGAAATCATGTAAAATGCAGATTCGGCTCCAGGAGGTCTGGGGTGTGGCCTGAGATTCTGCCCAGTGTTGCTAATGCTGCTGGGCTTGGAGCCACACTTTGAGTAGCAAGACCCTGTTATTGTTGTTAGCTGCCTTCAGGTCGGCCAGATTCATGGTGACCTCATGTACAATACACAGAACTCTGCCTGGTCCTGCGCCATTCCCATGTTTGGTTGAAGATTAGACCGTTGTGCCCCGTAGGGTTTTCATTGGCTGATTTTTAGAAGTAGATCACCAGGCCTTTCTTCCTGGTCTTAGTTTAGAAGTTCTGCTGAAACCTGTTCCCCATCATAGCAACACACAAGCCTCCACTTACATATGGATGGTGGCTGTGCATGATGTGCATTGGCCAGGAATCGAACCTTGGTCTCCGATACCAGAAGTAAGAATTCTGCCATTGAACCACCAGTGCCTTAGCAAGATCCTGGAGCTATCATTTTAACATGGAAGAGTCCAAACAGGTTGGAGCTCAGCTAACATTTTTGAATTGCAAATGTTCCGCAAGTATGACTTTGAATAATGCGGACTCTCCTGAATCCTCTCTTATGCTCAGATACTATAAAACCCTCTTCTTCTCTTGTTTGAGTGACCCAGCTGAGAGTGCCATGATGATTGTTACTGTGTGTAAAAATCTCTTGGAAATGTGTGTCTTCTCTCACGGAAAATATATTTTGGGGTTTTATGTATATAATGAAAATAATAATTTTAAAGGAAAATGGTAGGATCTTCTCATGCCAAAGCACTCAGTCCCTGAGGATAAGATGTAGACAGTTGACTGTTCTAACTTCTCTTCGGGACCATATCTTCTTTTTTGATTCATAACAGCATAGAGCTCAGTATTGATGTTCTTAATTAATAACACCAGTGACCATTAGAAATCATGTTATCTATCTATCTATCTATTTATTTTTAATCATGTTATCTATTTAATGTACATTGTATATAATATAAGGGCTGATTTAGAAAACAAAAAGCGTACTCTAAATATCTACTTTTATTGTGGATGAGTTAATTTTAAAAAAAAAAATTTTTTTTTACAATTATTGTAATGTCATTGGGACAATAAATGAAAAACACAAAAGTTGGCAGTACACTTTAAAAAAAATTTTGTCGTTGTTGAGAATATACACAGCAAATCATACACCAATTCAACAGTTTTTACATGTACAATTCAGTGACATTGATTATATTCTTTGAGTTGTGCAACCATTCTCACCCTCCTTTTCTGAGCTATTCCTCCCCCATTAACATAACCTCATTGCCCCCTAAATTTCCTATCTAATCTTTTGAGTTGCATTTGTCTGTTTGATCCCATATAGATAGATATTAAAAGAGCATGATGCTCAAGGCAGACATTCTTTGCTAGTTGAGCTAAACTACTGTTTGGCTTTAAGAAGACTTCAGGGGATATTTTTGGTTTAAGGTTTAAAGATTATCTCAGGGCAATAGTTTCAGGGGTTCATTCAGCCTCCATGGCCCCAGAAAGTCTGGAGTCCATAAGAATTTGAAATTCTGTTCTAGATCTTCTTTTTGAACACATGCTTCCTCAGGCTATTCCATTTGAACATCATAAATGTTATTATTCATAAGTACAATAGATCTTTGCTATTTATCACCAGTATATCCTGAGACCTTTGTGAATTCCTATGTGCAAATTCTTGTCATCAAAAAGTGAAAGTAGCCTTTTGACATACCTAATGAGAGAGGCTACTGCAAAGAAGAGACACGAAAGTGCTTTCCTCAACATGTGGAAGCTGTGATCCCCTGTGTTTGCACATCTGCAAAATGTTTTGTGTCCCTTCTCAGGGGCCTCATAGACCTTGAGATTCAACTCAGCAGAACCACAGAGAACATGCATTATGAATAGTCGATGTGGCTACTATTGTCAAAGCCACAAATATCAAATGCCAAGTTTCCAATAGCTCCCACATACCAATATCAGTCTGGGCATGGAAAAAATCTGTAACCACACGCACTGCATTGCTTAGCTCTTCACAGTGGTTCTCTGAGGAAAGGTACATGGTACTTCCACTTTCTGTGGTTTACATTTCTGTATTGTTTTAATATTTTACTTGCAGCATGCATGATTCTGGTCACTTTTGTAATTAGAAAAAAAATTAATAGAATTCTTAAATCCCTTGAGTGAACATGATGGTGTTTTTCATTGAGTAGTGCAATAGACTGTCAGTTGATTGATCCTGGTTATATATGATGACCCTATATATGCTATGATGCAGGATTATGTAGCCCAGGTTGATTTTGTATATTTCTCTAGTTGTTCACCAAACGTTTCTTGAGCAACTAGTATATGTGCGGTATGAAGTTAGGGGCCAGCATATGGTCTTTCATGGTACTTTCTTAAGGAAGGGAGACATTCATGCAGACAAAGAAATTTTCGTTGCAGTTAATAAAACTCTAAAAGGCCAGGAACTTTTCTACAGATGATGAGAGCCACAGGTCTGAGTGCTCCCTGGTAGTGGCTGCCTTCTCTCCATTTCTTTCATTCCTCCATAGAGCAAGCAGAGCTGATATCCCAACCCTTACAGAAATTTTCTGCATTTCTACATTGGAACAAAAATCACTCAGTAAGCTCAACTAGCTTTATTCTTAGGAATTCCTGCTTGGAATTAATCATTAAAAAACAAAATTGTAGAAAAGAACAATAGCTCCCTCCTATTTTTCTAGTAGTAGAGTGTAACAGTAATCAACAGGCATTCTTACATAGATCCTATGAACAATAAGAAGAAATAAAAGTAACTATTTGAATAAATATATTTTTTTAAAAATTTTAAGATGCTTCTTCCTTGTCTAAACTATTCTTAATAATAATGGCAAAGTAATACTTTAAGCCATAGCATGAAAGTTTCCAACTTTCTCGAAGCAAAATGTTTATTTCACTTGCATCTAAAATAAATATCTGTCCTAATACATAAGACTAGACAAATTTGTGACACAACCCCCCAAAGCTGGCCATTGTTACATTAATATCAAACTTGCTGTTGTTTTTTTTCAGAACTGTATGTTTCACAGGAATATCACCAGTGATCTGAAAGCATTTACAGACAAGTATGGTTTTGATGTCCTCATCATCTTGGCCAGCTACCTATCGGAGGAGCAGCAGCCGAGACGACAGATTGCTGTATTTTCTGAGAACCTAGAGCTGTGTGGTCAGGTGAGGACCTCTACCTACCCCGACACACTGCACTGCATCCTAACTTGCTGACTCTCAGAACACGCGGGTGGAAAATGAAAATGGATTGGTGGCTTATAATGAATTGGCCCAAGGGATAAATCCTAGAGTATGAGCTTTAAGAAATGTTGGGGGTGTTTTGCCACATTGGACCTTTTAAAAGAGCTCCATAACCATTTCCCTTCTAGACGGAATTCATAGAGAGATGCTGATTCATATCTTTCTCACCTGATGAGGGCAAGTTCTTATCTGGGTGTTGTATTTCTATGACTGCTACCTGGTAATAGTTCACAAGGCTTAGCCCTGTATTAGTGTCCTACAGCTGCCATAACAAAGTACCACAGACTGGGTGGCTTAACAACACTAATGTATTGTCTTACAGTTCTGGAGGCCAGAAGTCCTAAATCAAGGTGTAGGCAGGTCAGTGCTCTCTCTGAAGGCTCTAGCGGGAAGATACTTCCCTGCCTCTTCCTAGCTCTGGTGGTTCCTGGCAATCCTTAGTGTTCCTTGGTGATCCTTGGCTTGTGAATACATCACTCCATTCTCTGCCTGTCTTCACATGGCTGTTTTCCTTCTGTGTCTGTCTGTCTCTCTGTCTCTCTTCTTCTCTTCTTTTAAGGACATCAATCATATTGGATTAAGACCCACCCTACTGTAGCATGACTTCATGCTAACTTAACTAATAATATCTTCAAAGATCCTATTTCCAAACAAGATCACTTTCAGAGGTACCGAGGGTTAGGACTTCAACATATCTTTCTGAGGGACATAACTCAATTTATAACAGTCCCTTTTGATGCCCAATGTTAATAACTGGCGATCTGATGAATTAATCAAAGTTAGTTTGTATCCAGTTACTAAAATTCCTCTAGGTTATATATGAGTCTTTTAACCCAAGACTGTGGAAATAATTTTTAAAAATACAATAAATTAATCAAAACAGGCCACGCTACCAAACTAGGTATATTTAATAATTAATGTGAGAACATACATTATTCATTATAACATAGACTACATAGGCACAGAAAAAATTCATTACTAAAATTTCCTCACAAACGTGTTAGACGAAGTCCCTGGGTGATGCAAACAGTTAATGCGTTCAGCTGCTAACCAAAAAGTAGGAGGTTTGAGTCCACCCAGAGATACCTCAGAAGAAAGCCCTAGCAATCTACTTTTGAATAACTGGCCATTGAAAACCCTACAGGGCGAAGTTCTACTCTGACACACATGGGGTTGCCAGGAGTCAGAATCGACTCGACGGCAACTGGTTTAATGTGCCTCGTTTATCCACAGGTGGCTAGAGGCAAAGTCTCTATTCCTCTCTTTACTTTATCTTCACCTTCTGTCCTCCAACAGATCATTGTTGGCTCTCTTAATATATAATTGCAGGTAGTCACAGCCTATAGTCATATTAACTGATCTTCATTGTAGGTGTATGGATATTATCCTATCACTGACAGTGTTGTACTTCAGATAGATCTTGAAATGTTCTTTTTGATGATGAATACAATGCCATTCCTCTTCAATTTGTCATTCCCAACATAGTACGCCATATGACTGTCCGATTCAGAATGGCCAGTATCAGTCCATTTCAGCTCTCTAATGCCTAGGATATCAATCTTTATGCATTCCATTTCATTTTTTATGACTTCCAATTTTCCTAGATTCATACTTTGTACATTCCACATTCTGATTATTAATGGATGTTTGCTGCTGTTGTGTCTCATTCTGAGCCATGCCACATCAGCAAATGAAGGTCCCAAAAGTTTGACTCCATCCACATAATTAAGATCGACTCCACAGTTCTACTCTGTCCTGCAGGGTCACTGTGAGTCGGAATCAACTGACGGCAATGAGTTTGGTTTTTTGGGTTTCTACTTTGAGGAGGCTGCTCTTTCCCAGTCTTCTGAGCGCCCTCCAACCTAAGTAGCTTGTCTTCCGGCACTATATCAGACAATGTTCTGCTGCTATCCATAAGGTTTTCAGTGATCAATTTTTTCAAAAGTAGATCACCACGTCCTTCTTCCCATCTGTCTTAGTCTGGTAGCTCCACTGAAACCTGTCCACCATGGATGACCCTGCTGGCATTTGAAATACCAGTGGCATAGCTTCCAGCATCACAGCAACATGCAAGACACCACAGTACAACAAACTGATAGATGAGTAATGTCAAAGATGAAGAAATTGAAGATTTTTACTAACTTCTGCAGTCTGAAACTGATTGAACATGCCATCAGCATGCATTGATAATTACTGGTGATTGGAATGCAAAAGTTGGAAACAAAGAAGAAGGTTTGGTAGTTGCAAAATATGGCCTTGGTGATAGGAGCAATGCCAGAGATCACATGACAGAATTTTGCAAGACCAATGACTTATTCATTGCAAATACCTTTCTTCAACAACATAAATGGTGACTATACATTTGGACCTTACTGGATGAAATACACAGGAATCAAACCGACTATATTTGTGGAAAGAGAGGATGGAGAAGCTCAATATCATCAGTCAGAACAAGGCTAAGGGCCGACTACGGAACCAGTCATCAATTGCTCATATGGAAGTTCAAGTTGAAGCTGAAGAAAATTTTAAAAAGTTCATGAGAGCCAAAGTATGAACTTAAGTATATCCCATCTGAATTTAGAGACCATCTTAAGAATATATTTGACACATTGAAACACTAATGATCAAAGACCAGATGAGTTGTGGGATGACATCAAGGACATCATATATTAAGAAAGCAAAAGGTCATTAAAAAGACAGGAAAGAAAGAAAAGACCAAAATGGATGTCAGAAGAGGCTCTGAAACTTGCTTTTAAATGTAGAGTAGCTAAAGCGAATGGAAGAAATAATCACGTAAAAGAGTTGAACAGATTTCAAAGGGCAGCTCGAGAAGACAAAGTACGATAATAAACTGTGCAAAGACCTTGAGTTAGAAAACCAAAAGAGAATAACATGCTCAGCATTTCTCAAGCTGAAAGAACTGAAGAAAAAATTCAAGCCTTGAGTTGCAATATTGAAGGAGTCTATGAGCAAAATATTGAATGACGCTGGAAGCATCAAAAGAAGATGGAAGGAATACCCAGAGTCACTGGACCAAAAAGAATTGGTCAACAGTCAACCATTTCAGGAGGTAGCATATGATCAAGAACTTGATGATACTGAAGAAAGAAGTCCACGCTGCACTGAAGGCATTTTCGAAAAACAAGTCTCTAGGAATTGACAGAATACCAACTGAGATGTTTCAACAAACTGACGCGGTGCTGGAGGCACTCCCTCATCTATGCCAAGAAATTTGGAAGACAGCTACCTGGTCAACAGACTGGAAGAGATCTATATTTGTGCTCATTTCAAAGAAAGGTAATTCAACAGAATGCAGAAATGGTCAAACAATGTCATTAATATCACATGCAAGTAAAATTTTGCTGAAGATAATTCAAAAATGGTTACAGCAGTACATTGACAGGAAACTGCAAGAAATTCAAGCTAGATTCAGAAGAGGATGTGGAACCAGGGACATCATTGCTGATGTCAGATGGATCGTAGCTGAAAGCAGAGAATACTAGAAAGATGTTTACCTGTGTATTATTGACTATGCAAAAGAATTTGACTGTGTGGATCATAACAAATTATGGATAACCTTGAGAAGAATGGGAATTCCAGAACACTTAATTGTGCTCATGCAGAACCTGTACATAGACCAAGAGGCAGAACGAGGGAATATTGAATGGTTTAAAATTAGAAGAAGTGTGCATCAGAGTTGTATCCTTTCACCAGACTTATTCAATCTGTATGCTGAACAAATAAACTGAGAAGCTGGACTGTACGAAGAAGAACTCGGCATCAGAATTGGTGGAAGTCTCATTAACAACCTGCAATTTGCAGATGACACAACCTTACTTGCTGAAAGTGAAGAGGACTTGAAGCACTTATTGATGAAGATCAAAGACTACAGTCTGCAGTATGGATTACACCTCAACATAAAGAAAACAAAAATCCTCACAACTGGGCCAATAAGCAGCATAAATGGAGAAAAGATTATAGTTGTCAAGGATTTCATTTTGCTTGGATCCACAATCAATGCCCAGGGAAGCAGCAGCCAAGAAATCAAATGACATATTGCATTGGGCAAATCTGCTGTAAAAGACCTCTTTAAAGTGTTAAAAAGCAAAGATATCACTTGGAGGACTAAGGTTCACCTGACCCAAGCCATGGTATTTTCCGTTGCCTCATATGCATGTGAAAGCTGGACAATGAATAAGGAAGACCGAGGAGAACTGATCCCTTTGAATTATGGTGTTGGTGAAGAATGTTGGCTATACCATGGACTGCCAGAAGAACAAACAAATCTGTCTTGTAAGAAGTACAACCATAATGTTCCTTAGAAGTGAAAATGGTGAGACTTTGTCTCATATACTTTGGACATGTTATCAGGGAACACCAGTCTGTAGAGAAGAACATCATGCTGGTAAAGTAGAGGGTCAGCAAAAAAGAGGAAGACCCTCAATGAGATGGACTGACACAGTGGCTGCAACAATGAGCTCAAACATAGCAACGATTGTGAGGATGGCGCAGGACTGGGCAGTGTTTCATTCTGTTGTACATGAAATCACTACGAGTCCGAACCAACTTGACAGCACCTAACAACAGCAACACTCGCAGCCTCCCTCTGTGCTTTCTCGTGTCCAGATATGAAAGACCCTCCTACTGCTGCTACAGTGGCATTTTGTTCTCCCTCTCTGAGCTCCCTTCATTTGTCATTGCTTTATCAGCTGTGCCTTTGCTCTGTATTTTGTTTCAAAACTGAATTTTATTTATCTTTAGCCACTGGCTTTCTAAGGACATTACATAGTTTCCAGTGTTTTCAAGTTACTTTTAGCAGCAGAACCCCCTTTTCAAACCAATTTTAAAACTGATTAATATAAAGTAGAAGCAGAAGTGCCAATGAGGGTGTTAGAAACCCTTGAGCTAGCTATTGCACCCACTCTGCCTCTCTTCTCCCCTTCCCACCAGTCTCCTCACCCCAGCAATGCCCCAGAGGCAGTTCCTCAGTACCCTGGGATTTGAGCAACAGGCAGTCAAGACTCTGCTCTAAAGGAATCCTTCTTTGATCATTGGTAACACACTGGGTTAAGTCAGCTTCTGTCAGCTTGACTGCCTGAGTTCAAAACCTGGCTCCATCACTTTATAGCTGTGTGTTGTTGGATGTGTCTTAGTTCCCTCATTGATAAAATGGGGACAATGAGTCCCTAACTCATAACTTATGGAGATAATTAAATGAGATGAGGCTCATAATATCTTAGCACTGTGCCTGGCATATGAGCCCTGATGGTGCAGTGGTTAAAGTACTCAGCTGCTAACCAAAAGGTTGGCGATTCAAACCCAACAGTTGCTCCATGGGAGAAAGATGTGGCAGTCTGCTTCTGTAGAGATTTACAGCCTTGGAAACTCTACGGGGGCGGTTCTCCTCTGTCCTATAGGGTCGCTATGAGTCGGAATCTACTCCACAGCAAAGGAAGTGGATTTATTATTATTATTACTATTTACAGGACCTCTGTGGTTTTTACTGTTACCTCTACTAATCCTGTGGGGCCATTTCCAAAGGCCCAAGGTGGCAAAATACCTTAGACATTTCCTAAAAACCATATAGCCACAACCAATGTCAGCGTCATGCTGATGGTCCCAAGTTCCCCTCTGACTCCCAAGTTAGCTTTTGGTCCTACATTAGTCTCTTCTGGGCTCCATGTCTCTGCTCCCCACAGCAGGAAGGGACAGCTTTGGCCTGAATGATATTTGAAAAACTCTGCCCCAATAGCTTCTTTCTTTTTTTTTTATCCTTTCTCCTTTGCCTTCTGAAGCTATCATAGGTTAAGGCTAAGTCTGGCTGCCTATTCCTAAAGAAAAGCCTTTCCTCTGACCCATTTCTCCATATTCTAACCCTTTTTCCCTGGTCTTGAAGGTACTGAAGCAGCAACTTTTCTGCTTTTTTGCAAACTTGAATTTCACTCCTGTTGAAAGATGGTATTATATTACACTGAAGAAAGGAGTTAGATGGTTTTAAGTTTCTTTACCCTTAACTTTCAGGAGCAAAGCAAAATTGGGCAGCTAGATTTTGAGTTAAATGAAAAGACAGCTTGATAGGATTGGAGAAAGGGATGGTACTATATTAAGTGGTACTTTCTATGTTTTACATTATACAACTCTCAGTTGTTTGAGGTTTTTTGTGTTTTTTATACAAATTAACACAAATTAATTTTATATTAGTTAATATACGTAATTTATTAAGACCAATTGCAAAGAGCAAAGACAGCCTGAGTGCTCACCTGAAACCCTGTGCCTCCCCAACAGATTTGCTGTGAACTAGAAGAGTGTCAGAACCCCTGCCTAGAACTGGAGCCCTTTGAGTGTGGCTCTGATGAGATCCTGGTGTACCAGCAGGAGAACCCTTCTGTGACTTGTGATCAAGTTGTTCTCCTTGTTAAGGAAGTCATCAATCGGAGGTGTCCAGAGATGGTCTCCAACAGCCGGACGTCGTCCACAGAAGCTGTGGCAGGCAGCGCTCCGCTCTCCCAGGGGTCTTCCGGGATTATGGAGTTGTATGGTTCTGACATAGAGCCACAGCCGAGCTCTGTAAATTTCATAGAAAACCCTCCAGATCTCAATGATTCTAACCAGGCTCAGGTGGATGTCAACGTAGACCTTGTTAGCCCAGACAGTGGGTTGGCCACCCTTAGGAGCAGCCGTTCATCCAAGGAGAGTTCAGTTTTCCTCAGTGATGACAGCCCAGTGGGAGAAGGTTCTGGGCCTCACCACAGCGTCCTCCCAGGGTTCGACTCCTATAGCCCCATCCCTGAAGGGGCAATAGCTGAGGAGCATACACGGCCTGGAGAACACAACGAACACTTCGACCTCTTCAACTTTGACCCGACACCCATGGTTTCTGGGCAATCCCAGCCATCTTCCCATTCTGCTGACTTCTCCCCAGCAGATGATTTCTTCCCCAACAGTGATTCATCAGAAGGACAGCTCCCCACTGGGCCTAAAGGACTTGATGAGATAGAGGTCAACATGTCTAATTACTCATCCAGTTCACTTTTGTCAACGGCTGGCAAAGACAGCCTTGTGGAATTTAATGAGGAGTTTGTCCAGAGACAAGAAAGTCCCAGGGATAACTCTGAAAGAAGTTTGAACCTGACAGATTTCGTGGGAGATGAATCTCCTTCACCAGAAAGTTTAAAAAATATTGGAAAAAGAATTCCACCGACACCTAGGAATAGCTTTGTAGAAAGCTCACCATCCACTGAAGAACAAACCCTATTCTATCCAGAAGATACAAGCCAAAATGCAGCTGACACAGGCCACACAGGGCCACCTCAGTCCCGTGCGAGATGCAGCAGCTGGTGGGGGGGCTTAGAAATTGACTCTAAAAATATCACCGATGCATGGAGTTCCAGTGAACAGGAGTCTGTCTTCCAGAGCCCTGAGTCATGGAAAGATCATAAGCCAAGCCCAGCTGACAGGAGAGCCTCAGATTCTGTGTTTCAACCCAAGAGTCTTGAATTCTCAAAATCAGGTCCCTGGGAGTCTGAATTTGGTCAGCCTGTACTGGGTAGCAGAGAGAATCAAGATCAAACTGAAGAAAACTTGCAGCTTCAAAATCTGCCCGCTGAGAAATCACATTTACCAAATGCGTCTCCTCAGGGAACAAACCACCTAATAGAAGACTTCTCTGCTTTGTGGCATTCTGATCAATCTCCCACAGCAATGCCTGAGCCGTGGGGAAACCCCACAGATGAGAGTGAACCAGCAGCTGTAGGCACATTTCCTGCATGGAGTGCATTTAGTAAAGAAGGTGACACTAAAGCTTTGAAAAATACCTGGAATCTGCACGCAGTGAGTGGTGAAATACCTTCTGTGATGGACCCGAATGAGTGGGCCATGGCAAAAAGCGGATTCTCTTTTCCTTTAGAAGATCTAGTGGACAATTCACCCAGTGATGCAAATAATGAAGCAGCTTCAGAAATCTGGGGCAAGAAGAACAATGACTCCAGGGATATTATCCTTGTATCTGGAAATGCCAGTTCTAATCTGGATCATGCGTGGAATCATTCTAAGCCACCAAAGGAAGATCAGGACGGTTTAGTGGATCCTCAAATTAGGGAGAAGGTGTATGAAAAGGTAGATTCCTGGAACATTTTTGAGGAGAGTATCAAGAAAGGAGGATCAGACATTCTAGCTCCTTGGGAAGATTCTTTCTTATCATACAGATGCGCTGATTACAGTGCATCCAACATAGGTGAAGAGTTGGTGACTTCCCCCTTAGATACCAGCTACTCCACCTCTGACTCTTATCCATCACCAACATTTGCTGGAGATGAAAAAGAAACTGAAAACAAGCCATTTGATAAAGAGGAAGGTTTTGAGTTAAAAGATGCTAACTCCACCACAGACGAGGCCGAAATGCCTCCTCAGTCACCACAGCAACCATCTAGAAATCAAATTAGTTCAGGTCCTGGGAACCTAGAAATGTGGGCTCTTGCAAATAACAGTTCTGAAATACATGCCACTTACAACCCAGATAAAGATTTCCTCCAGACCGAGCACAAGTACGATAAGAACATCTCCATGGAGGATGACATTGGGGACAGCAGCCAGTCCAGCTATGATGACCCCAGGATGATGCAGCTATACAATGAAACCAACCGACAGCTCACACTCTTACACAGCAGCACCAGCTCCCAGCAGGGGGCACCTGATAACCTCGACTTGTGGAACAGAGTGATTCTGGAGGACACGCAGTCTACCGCGACCATCTCAGATATGGATAACGATTTGGACTGGGATGACTGCAGTGGGGGTGTGGTGATCCCCTGTGAAGGTCAAGCACAAAGATATATGACTGAAAGTACTGAACCGGAAACGCGATTTTCAGTGAGACACCTAGAACCGTGGAGTGTGGAGTATCCAGAAGCAAATCAGGTAGACTGGGAACTTCCTGCCTCTTCCGAGCCCAGCAAGGACATTGCTCCTAATGAATGTCACATACTAAATGAGAAAAATGGACAGCTTATTGCGGACAGCATTTGGGATTCCGTTGTGAGAGATAACGACATGTCATCATTAATGTTACCCAGCCCATCACATATTACAAATTCAGAACAAAGCAGATCAACTCCTGAAACTCCTGACTCATCAGAAAAAGTTAAGGACAGTGACATCCCAGATATGCTTGATGTCTCTGGAGCCAGTCAGTCAGAAACACTTACACCTGACCCTAACAACCAGGATGATGCAGCATCTTTGGCCACCAGGCTTGAGAACCCAGGGCATTTTGCACATTCAGATCTATGGAAAGGTCAAAGCAATGGACAAAGTGGAATTGAGCAGGAAGCCCATGGAGCCTCTGATAGGGAGTGCATTGGTGAGGAGGAGGTGATAAGCTCTGAGGTGGATACCGCCTCAGGGAGTTCTGGAAAAGGGGAAGGTGACCAGGAACTCTCTTCTCCACTTACATACGAGCATCAAGAAATGTGCATGGAATTAGGCAAAATCAGCTCTCCTTCAGTCACTTCTAGTCCTCAGACTGAGGAACTAGAGGGGGTTTTAGAGCATGAGAAAGGAGCTTACAGTCTGGATTCCCATGATGTTCAAACAGGAATGTCTACAAATAACCCTCAGGCAGAAGATACCTATGAAAACCACCTCCTGAACCACAGAAATTTGAGTGAGGCTGCTGAAGTTTCAGGTAGGATGAATTCAACAGAAAATACATCTTTATCTGAAATGGATCTTGAAAAAACAGAGAAATGTAACATTCTGGAGCCAGAGAGAATGAATGAAGTGCCACCTCATGAATTTTCCCAAAGCTCTGACATTTGGGATAGCCCTAAAGAGAACTATGTGCAGGACAATTGTACAAGTTCTGAGATCACTGAGAATCTTGAAGTTAGGAGTACTGAAAATAGCCTTCCAGGAGCTAGTTCATCTGGAAATTATGGCAAAGGTAGTATTTCTAGTGAGTATACACATTCAAGTGCATCGAGTCCAGATCTAAATGATTCTTCAGCAGCATTGCTTTCCTGGAGACACATGTCCAACACTGAGCATAATAGGAAAGAGAATCAAGATGATGGGGGTGGACAGAATCACCAAGAATCTGAAGCAATTCCCACTGATGGCCAAGTAGAATTAATTCCTGAAATGAAAGACCTGGAGAAAAACAGAATGGAAGAGTTTGAAAAGAGCTTTGAGCACAAGATGCCTATATTTTTAGAGATTTGGAATTACTCAGTAGATGGTGATTCCTTGTCCTCTTTATCCAGTCCTGAAACAGGAAAATATTCTGAATATTCAGGTGCATATCAGGAAAGAAATCTTGTGGTTAGCCATCAAGAAAAAAACGATCGTGACATTCCTGAAACTATGCAGGTGGAGGATGCCATGTTCATTTCAACAAGCTCAGGCTCTGACGATGATAGTACAGATGATGAAGAGTCAGTGGAGAAAGAGATCCATTTGACCACTTGCCAAGATGCTCACAGTGAATCTAGAGCTTGGAACTCGATGAATGAATCTAATCAGTTCTTGACCACAGCTGATCTCAACGTTCAGAAATATTCTGAACATATAGGCAGTTCAGAACCAGCAGAAAATGAGAATAAATCAAACTCATTTTATGATGATCAACAAAGCAGTCCTGATCACTGGAATTTCTCACCACAATTAGATTCATTGAATGAATCTAATAAGCTCTTAGCCACAGCTGAACCCAATGTTCAGGAATATTCTGAATATATAGGCAGTTCGGAACCAGCAGAGAATAAGTCAGACCAATTTTATGATGATCAGCAAAACAGCCGTGATCACTGTAACGTCTCACTGCAGTTAGATTCACTGAATGAATCTAGTAGGTTCTTGGCCACAGCTGATCCCAACGTTCAGGAATGTTCTGAATATGTAGGCAGTTCAGAACCAGCAGAGGATGAGAATAAGTCAAATCCATTCCACAACAAACAACAAAGCTCCCCTGATCAATGGACTTTCTCACCACAGTTAGATTCACTGGATGAATCTTCTAAGTTCTTGGACAAGGCTGACCCCAATACTCAGGAGTGCTATGAATATGTAGGCAGTTCAGAACCAGCAGAGGATGAGAATAAGTCAAATCCATTCCACAACGATCAACAAAGCAGCCCTGATCAATGGACTTTCTCACCACAATTAGATTC